CTACAAGAAAAACTCAGTCCGATCAGCTGTTTCGGTCATAATGCTGATGAGAACGCCGCGGGGACAACGATTGTTGTGTGGCCCACTCCTCCCATGATGTCATTGAGTGTAAAAAGCAGAGATCCCAGGCAATATCGATGACAATTCGCCTGTATAATGCAAAATAACGGCAACGTCGCTCGGGGCTTTGAGTCGTTCCATAATCGTAATAATGCACATACCAATACATTTGTACACTCCGGTCCATTACCGCAACTGAAGACAAGACACCGCTACTTATATTTCAATACTTGAAGGCCATCAACGGTCTCTTGACCTGGCGTCTCTTCATAAACTCTGAAGGGCGCTTCATCAGCACACGATCGAGCAAAAACGACGAGAGACTCACTTCTTCGTGACCTTCCCTTCGTCCTATCTGTGGTAGTCGCGTTAGATGCAGGTATTGTCGAATTAGAAGCATCTGGCCCGACAAGAATAAATGTTCCCCCGACGGGATCGCCCAGCCCGACTTTAGCAGCGAAAGAGCTGAGGTTGAAGCTCGTTCTCATTGTCGAAGAGTCCAGTATCGTCTGAGCGTCGAATCCATCCGGCTGCGAGAATAGGAGGAACACATATCTGAACAAATTAATCAGCATCAGCTTCTCATACGCACTCGCGGTTGTGACTTATTATGATAAACTTGGAGCAGAAAATAACGGCGTAAACATACCGATGTGGATCAGACCCCGCAGGTGGCGAAGGTTGCAAGAACTCCGACAGTGCTGCGCTCGAGTTCTTCAGCAGTTGGACGGCATCGCTACTGGACAAGGTTCCAGAAGTCGAATTTGGATCATTGCTCAAAGCGAAATTGCTGCCGAGAAAGTGGCGGATTTGAGCGCTGGTGGGTGCTTGTGGGGAGGGTGCGTCGAGGTCTATCATCGCGATGACGAAGGGTCCGGTGGTATCATTGTTGTTTGCGTTGGTGGTACTGTACTTTTTCGACCAGACGTTCATCAGTGGCGTGGGAATATGACTGTCCTAATCCAGGATGTCCACCCGTGCAGGTTCAAACTCGGGAGGGGACCGGGGACAGCATGTTCAGCATTCATGTTTCGTTACCGGGTGGAGGGCAATTTGCCGAACCTGTGTAAGTCACCTAGCAACCCACTCCATATTTAGCACATTTTGACAAAGAGCCTATTCAACACTGCTATGGCTGTTCGATGACTGCTCGAGTTTGCCGTCCTGCATGTCGACAACAGCTCGATCTTCAGCTCCTCGCCGAGCACTCCGCGCGCATAGTCTCGAAAAAATTGCTATAGAATATACTGAGGAGGTGTGTATCCAGCTCAAGCTATTCAATCTGACCTATCCAACTAACGGAGAAAGACGATCCAACCGGTGAAACATCAGCATGCACTCCGACGATGACATCCTCACAGAATCGGCCTCGTCGCAGACACTTCATGCATGACAATTGCTAAAGTGTTCCAGGGCAAAATTTCCACAAAATTTCCACGGCGCAGTCATGGTACGTCTTTCATCATTTGAGGACCATCGATGGACGCTTATAAGGTTCGGTGAAAAAGGTCAGCATCCCTATCCACCACCTGCCATCCGAGGTAGTCGTTCATCTCAGCAAACACATCGAATCTGCGGCTTCCGAACAGGTTATGAGCACCACTCCCATTGGTACGTACTTCTCTGGTCAATCATGGTTGATTCCGTCTGTGGCGCCAATATTCAGATTATACTTACGCCATTCTCTTCTGACTTCGCCCTTGTTTTAGATCCGAACCTTGTTGCATGGATAGGTCATGGAAGACGATGGCCCGGGTCATCGAAACGGCCGAGGTTTCTAAACGATGCGTTCAAGGCAGCGGTTCGCTACCCGCGAGATTATGATTCCTTCGTACCCGCGTCCGACCTCAGCATCGTCGAATTCATTGCTATGGACTTACCACGGGTCTCCACCACGCCCTCTGTCGACTTTGTCGACGAATTATTCTCCTTCGAGCCAGCCTTCGCCGAACCCTTACCGATCTTAGCCATTGATATGCCTCCCGCCGATCTCCTTCACAAAATTTGGGACATGCTCCCGCAAAAATGGCTAGATGGCTATCAATCTATTCGTGGGCTTTCTTCGCACTACAATATTCCTTTCTGCATAATCTCCCTCTGGATGGACCTTCTATCCGCTACGACCATGCAGCCCCGATGGATGCGAGCTTACTCCTGGTTTCATAACATTGCACTCCCTCTCCCCGTTCCGGCTCATCTCTCATACATTCCCAACGCGATTGAACGTTTCTTCGAGGTCATGGGATGGGACGTTCATCTGTGTGGTCCCTCGTCCTTGAAGTCGACACACCTCATTGAGCTTTTTGGACGAGGGATGCTTAGCGGGAGAATTGTTGAGAGCGGCATGGAGATGTTTCGCAACTGGGCCTCGCAAGATCCCGGCCTCCGCACTGTCCAGGTCGAAACATTCGATTTTCAATACCCGTTTACCGTCAAAGACATCGACTGGTCGACCTTCGCCGACGACGACCACCACAGTCACTTCGGATACCTCCGTACGATCGCTCAGGCCATCCGTAGTTCTCACATCACCAAGATCATCGCTCCCATCCACATTCCCAATGTCGACCACTTCTCGGCAGCTTCAATCGACTTTGTAGATGGCACCATTAGCTACGGTGATGGCCTCGGGTTCTCTATGCCGGGGCGAGATTTTGAGGGAGTTAGGAATTTAGGAGAGAAGGCGGGAAAACCCTTACTTCACTCGTGGCGGCAGATGGAACGACCGGTGCAGGATGATGGATTTTCTTGCGGGATCATTGCGTTGAATGTTTGCGAGAAAGAGCTCTGGCCACAGACACGGTTATGGGAGTCTGCCACAAAGGACTTCGAGAGGATTGAGTTTGCACTTCTCCTTGCCACAGGAGCGGGATGCTCTTATTCTTTGGTACGTGAAATTTCCCTCAAAGTCATCAAACAACATCTAATTCTTCTAACACTGATAGGAGGATTTTGGAGTCAACTCAGACATCATCACCGCACGTCATGATGGTCGTCGTGCTGCTCGCACGCCACTTACTCCTTCACAACGCTCGGATTTGATTCCTCCTCCTCCTCCTCCTCCTCCTCCTCCTCCTCCCAGCCAACCAATCTCCGCATCGACGTCATCTTCAGAACCCGAGAGCGACGAGTGTGAGGGGAGTGAATGGGACATGTTGTATGATGACGGTGAGGAGGATGCACTGTTGTCTACGTTACGTGATCGTGCTGCCGTTGAGCGTCTGCAACATCGTGAGTATAGTTATGCACATATCTTTTACTATATCCCTGCTGATGTTATGTTCCTAGAACTTTCAGCTGCCGTCACACTGCCCGCACATGTTTCAAGGACTTCAGGGTGTTCCGCCGCCGCAGACATAAGGACACCATCCCTGTCATCTCCCATATCGACATCTCAGAAACGCTCTGTTAGGAAAGCCAACTTTCCATTCACTCGGACACCCGGTCCCGTCCCAACATCCCGCTTCGACGAGCCTTACGACGATGACGAACTCAGTGATGCTGACTCAGACGGGCTCGATGACCTAGACGACTTATTCCGTATCTTAGCCACTACGCCCGCCACTCCCTTGGCCTCTAGCGACGTAGAGTTGGATGTGGCTCAGATGGACGTTGATCGCCATCCTTCATCCGTGTCTCAGCTACCAACAGCTGCATGTACACCTATCGCTTCCACACCGCATGTCATCGACACTTCCAAGGATTCCGTCTGGTCTCATGCCGTCGATAGCCACAATCGCCTCATCCGAGCCCTCCCATCCAGAGTCAATGACGATCGTCTTCAGCAGTCCAGTCTCCAGTCGTTCTTCCCAAAACTCACTCGCGAGGAGGCCGAGACGAGACGCTGTGCTACGAAGATAGAGAGAATGGAGCGGGAGCGGGATGAACGGGAGATGGCAAGTCGGAGGGAGAAGGTTAGCAAGCTGGTTAAGAAGAAACATAGTAGGCAGCGGGAGAGGGAGAAGAAGCGGAGGTATCGACAGCGCAAGAAGGCCAAGAAGGTACTTGTCTGTTTTACTTCGAGTTTGGTGTTTTGTCACTAACCATCGTTTCCAGGAGGCTCTACAGGCTGCAGCCTCTGATCCAGGAAACACACAGGCTCTTGTCCAGGTCGAAGGCAACAACCCCACCACAATTCCTATCACACCTGACGACACACGACCTTTCCGACTCTTCAAGGAGCTCGCTCGCCAGAGTCGTGATAAGCGAGGACGGAAACGCAAAAACCCACCATCGAGTGCCACGCGCTACAACTGGATCAACCCGGCCATCTTCCAACAAATCAGCACAGCGGCACGCGAGGTTGGCCCGTCGATGTCTCCAACTGAAATCGTCAGCCTTCTTCGGTCTCGCAATCCTGCACAGTTCTCCCGGCTCACGGCCCAGGTCATCGGACGATGGATCGAACGGCCCAAGAATGCTCCCGCTCGGTGGAAAGAGAAGGTCCTTGCTCGTGTCAGACTCGGGAACAAGCCTCTCGGACATACTACACGTAGTGGTATTTTGGTATGTCATTCCCTCGGGACTCCGTTTTCCTTACTTTCGCTCATCCAAAAATACGCGTTACAGTCCTTGTTTCCCGAGCTTGTGGACATCATTGTGGCGCAACTCAAATTCCTTCGCGCGGCGGGAATCCCTTTGGACACCACTACTTGCCGTGCCATCATGCTAGCCTTAATCACTCACCACACACCACAGCTTCTTCGCACCACTGTCTCTCGCGATGGCAGTACTTTCCGCTGCTCCAACACCTTTGTGCGCAAATTCGTCTACAACCACCTTCGTTGGGTTCCTCGAGTCTCTACACGTGCTGCTCAGAAGACGCCAGTCGACGCTGAGCAGCAGATATGGGAGCTATTCCTCCGTCTCGCACTCTGGGTCCGCGACGCCGGCGTCCGGCACCCTTCTCTTATCGTCAACTTTGATCAGACGCAGGTAGTCATCGCTGACAACAATGCACACACATTTGCCGAGGAGGGTTCGAAGCAGGTTGGCGTGAACGGAAAGGAAGAGAAACGAGCGTTCACATCGGTCGTCGGCATCTCAGCATCCGGCAATGTCCTTCCCTCCCAGCTCATCTTCAAAGGCGGCTCAGACCGGTCTCTTCCCTCCCCGAGCGCCCCCGCCCGAGACGAAGCTTCGCGCCTTGGGTTCCTCTACAGCTGGAACCCCAACAATTACTGGTCGAGCCTTTCCCTCATGGAGACGTACATGGAGACCATCATTGTGCCATACTTTATGCATCAGAAGCAGCTGCTGGGCT